TTTCACTATTATTTAATACATAGCATGTTAAACGAAAATCATCGCTGTAAGTTGATTTTAAAAGGAAGCTAACTAAACAAAAACAATTATTATTACTTTTACGTTACGTTTTCCTAAATATGTTAAAAAGCTTATAATTTTTATTTTTTGAGCATGTGTAACTGCTTGATGTTTAAATCTAACGAATATATAATTAGAAAAAAATCCACGCGGACCAGGCAGCAGACGGGACTCGAATAAAACTAAAATAAAATTATAACTATAATTGCTATTTCTTCTTTCAAATGTTAATACGTAAAATTATTCATTTGACATGGTGGGTTACCTACAATGCGAAGAGATGGCGCTGAATTGCAGCTAGAAGAATTTCGACGCGGTCATCAGGGCCGCGGTAGCATAATTGGTCAGTGCATTCGTTCGAGTCCCGTCTGCTGCCTGGTCCGCGTGGTTTTTTTCCTAGTTATATATTCTTTAGATTTAAAAAGCTTATGTTTTTTATGACTCTATGTTTGAAGTTTCTAAAGTTAAGAAACTTCACCTAAAAATATGTCCCAAAGCTTGATCGATGAAATGAACTGCAGGGTGTCCGGTCCGGAGAGACTTAGGATTTATGGCTGTATATGTATATAGCCCTGTATATGGCTTGACTTTATGATAATAAGTTTTAGTTTATCTAATATCGCTGTCATTGAAGCCTCACCTCCTTCCTAAAGGTCGATGACCTGATAGTGTGTCGCAATTTTATGTACAAAACTACTATAAATAACATGTTTATTTACGTGGCAACTTTGCTTAGTATGTGTTTGTGGTTTGTTTCTTAGGTTTTCACGCACATCACTCATTAAATAAAACCTAGTTTTTAACGGGTTAATGCACAAACTTTATTTATTTATTGACGTTTCGCAGCCTTTTCAGGTCTGCATCGTCAGAATAATGATTTTTTATTTACTTTGTCGAGCTACCTTCGAAAGACCTTTACTGAGCGTTCGGATATTTCATCGGAAGATTTTTAAAACGACCTCCGTGGCCGAGTGGTTTGTACGCCGGGTTTCATGGGGTCGCCGACTCGAGGGCGACCCGACAAATCCCGATGGGGGCAGATGTTTGTGTGATGAATACGAGCATTTGTACTCCAGTCATGGATGTTTAATATGTATTTCTAAATAAATATACGTATATATGTACTGTATATGTATTCTATCCGTTACCCTAGTACCCCATAACACAAGCCTTACAGTGCTTACTTTGGGGCTAGGCTATTGGTGTGAGTGTTGGAAATATTTATTATTATTATTATTTATTGTCTATGTATGAATTTATTAGTTAATTTAGTTAATAAAGTACTTTATTTAAAATTCTTTTTTATAATTTTGAGTTTATTTATTTGACCCTAACTACCGTAAACTACCACCGGTTCCAAAACTGGGAGACCTTTCTGAGAAGAACCGGCGAAACAAACTCAGAGAGGCTGTGTTTGTGGTTTGTCTAGTACCGATTAAATTATTATCACTATGCTAGGTATACTTTCAACACTATAGGAAGATTGGCGGGTTTTAATCCATACTTTTATAATATAAATGCGAATAAGATATTTGTTTCTTGGGCTTTCACACACACCACTCATTAAATAAAACACATTGAAATGCGTTTATCATCATCAGTCTATTATTGTCCCCACTGCTGTGGCCTTCACGAACCTTCACGAACATTAAAGACCAAGATAAGATAAATCCGTTCAGTCGTTCTCGAGTTTTAGCGAGATTAACGAACAGCAATTGATTTTTATATATATCATCATCCTATTAAAGTCCCCACTGCTGGGGCACAGGCCTTCCCTATGGATGGAATGGGGAGATTGGGTTATGACCCACCACGCGGGCCCAGTGCGGATTAGTGGGTGCAATCGACTGTAAATGCAGTCGGGACCAACGGCTTAACGTGCCTTCCGAAGCACGGAGGAACTCAAGATAGAAGTTATTTGGTCACCCATCCAATGACCGACCACTGCGAAAGTTACTTAACTTCAACGATCGCAGCCGATAGCGATTACTACTTGCGCCAACGATAGTATAACTTTTTGATAAATTTGGTGCGAATATGAATATTACCTATTTTTCTTTCCATGAAAGAGCTGTGTCGCTGGAGTATTTGATGTTTTTACACGATTTCCTGTTCCCATGTTCAGATATTGAATTGAATTCTAACTAATAACAAATTGAAGAAAATTTTGTTAGAAAAAAATAGACGCGGACCAGGCAGCAGACGGGACTCGAACCCGCATCCTTCGCTATCCGGGCGAATGCACTAACCATTAGGCTACCGCGTTATTATGCTATGTCGCTTTTTTCTAAACTTTCTTAGGCTGCAAGGCAGCGCCATCTCTTCGCATTATAGGTAACCCACAATGTCAAATGAATACCTTTACAAGTATTAAACATTTGAACGAAGAAATAGCAACTATAGTTATTTTTTAAGCATTTAACTGCTAGATGTTTAATTCTAAAGAAAATTTTGTTTATATCGAACCCCGTCTGCTGCCTGGTCCGCGTGGAATTGTTTCTAACAAAAGTTAAATGCTTAAAAAAAATAACAAATTGGTCAAGGGTTTCTTTCCTTAAAAATATAAAATCTGAGAATTTGTGGTAACGAAGTTCTCAGTCGCCCACGTAGTGTGATACAATGAATTAAAATGCAAAGGTTGCATCGCATTGGGCATGCAACTTGCGCAGGCTTGTGTCAATGATCCCACAAATCGACTGGCGAGTCCAGAGGCTACTCTACAGATGGACAACTTGATTTCTTATTGAATGCTAGGTTCATTCAACAAGAAATCAAATCTGTCGAATTCCTCAAATCCATACTTCTTATAGGTATATAAAATTCTCATGTCATAATGTTAGTTTCCATACTCCTCCGTAAGTTTTATGAAATTTTTATATTGCCAATTTTTAAAGCCCTAAGTGATAAGGGCTGTCCACCCCTAACTTTTAATTTTTGGATTTTTTTTTTATTTGGCATTATGAAATTCATACAACCCTAAATTTATGCCCTTCTACCACCCATATTTTGTATGGCGATACGAAGTTCGCTGGATCAGCTAGAAATATTATAAACACAAAAGGAGGTTAGAAGGTGGGAGGGGCAGGCGCGCCACAGATGTGTGAGCAAATGCTCATAATTTGACCAAAAATTGGGTCTGATTGCGTCGTTGCTCTCGGGTGTGAGGTTCGATTGTTTGATGTCGCGTCGTTTGATTGGCTATTATCTATTTGGTGGAAGTGTAGTAAAGGCGAACCGGCCGGCGACATCAGTTCCCGTGCAAACTGTCTATGATCACCCTTCTAACCCCTTTCTGAGTTCTGTGATTATAAATGAGAAAGTTTTTAATGTTTGTTACTCAATCACGCATAAACTGCTGTACGGATTTGGATGAAATTTTACATTCAGTAGGCAGCTTATAATATGTAAAGAGACATAGGATACCTTTTTTATTTTATCTGGAAAAATGTTAGGTTCCTGAGAAAATTATAAAAAACTAAAGTTATCTGAGACGAAGTCACAGGCGGCCGCTAGTATTATAAATTAACAAATTAATTATAAATGCAAAAGTTTGTCTATCTACCTCTTCACGCTTAAACCACCGAACCGATTGGGAAGAAATTTGGTATAGATATAGTTTGAGTCCCGGGAAAGAGTGTACCATCCACCCCGGTCGCCCCGCCCCGTTAAAGGGACGGTTAGGAAAAAATGTTCCATCGACCGCGGTAGCCCCGACCCCGTCGTTTAACGCGGTCTTCAAACAGGGGAGTTAGCATAAGCCCTGCAAAAAAATCACGCCGGGGTAGTATACTTGATCTATGCCATCCACCCCGGAACTTTTTCCCCAATTGTTCCGTTGATGTAGCGGGACGATGGATGGTACCGAATCCCGGAAAAGGACATAGGATATCAGGAGGTTTTTATCCTGGAAATCATACAAATTGGGAGTGAAAAGGGATGAAAATTTGTGTGGCACCCACCGAGCTACGTTATGGCACGGGATCACCCGAGATACCCAGGGTGATTTCTGCCTCGGAGCCCCGGCTAGGCCTGGAAGCAGTCAGATGCGGAGACGCAGTGAAATCCCTGAACTGGGATCTCGCGGCTCCGTACTTAAACAGCGTAGAGGGTATTCGCAGGGTTTTAGCGGTTAGTATGCTGTAATCCGCGGGGACTGCTTAATGGCTTCTTCTTCGCACCCGTGAGACTTGCGAGAGGCTAGGTGTGAGGTCCGTTCGTTGGTGTGTCCTCTTAAGGGCGCCAACGTCTGTAAACAGAGGTTTTGCATGCGAAATAAAAAAAAGGCTACGTTTTTGCTGTAGTATTGACTTTTATTTTTTTATTAGTTATTGCAAGAAAGAAGGCTACATGGCTTGGAGAGAACTCTGTAGAATTATACTATAGGTACTTCTTATACGACAGGCCCTCCAATGGGACTGTCAAAGAGTTTGCATTAAAACTACACACAAAAAAAGAGTTATGCCACAATGGCGTACATTTTTCTAATCGGCTGATGTCCCACAATCCTTAATTTCGGTAAACAATGTTAAAAATATGCCATCTATGACGTCTCCCCTCGTAGACTTGCGAAGTACTAAGAAGAACCAACAAGAAACTCATAGGCTACAGGCCCGTGTCAAAAATTGATGGGTCATTTGAACCACCAGAAGACCTATTTAGAAAGATAGAGAAGGACATTAAATAATAAGATTCAGCAGTATGCCGTCACTGGTAAGCTGTCCAACTGAGTGAAGGTGACAATTAAAAAGTAAAGATAGAGGGAGTACATTTTGGTCATATACGAGTGTTTTTAAATGTCCTTTTATCTTTCTTAATAGGTCTTCTGGTAGTTTAAATAAGCCACGGGTCTGTAATCTCTCTCAGCAAAGACTCTCTTTTCTCCCAGTTTTATATAGTATGGATCCTGCCAGATGTTTTAAGTCGTTTTTCCTTGTTCCCAGCGCAAGTCGGAGCCCGTCATCTTGGAGTACTTCGAGCACGGTGACACCAATGCGGCCGCGGAAGATCTCCTCGAGTTTGTCACAGCTAAACGCAGCCATCTGGTGAGCTATTACCACAAATCATCATCATCATCATTATGGATGAAATAGGGAGTTTGGGCCATGACCCACCGTGCGGGTCCAGTGCGGAATGGTGGGTGCTAACGACTGCAGATGCAGCCGGGACCAACGGCTTAACGTACCTTCCGAAGCACGGAAGAAGTCGAGATAGTAAATTTTTGGTCACCCATCCTATGACCGACCACTGCGAAAGTTACTTAACTTCAACGATCGCAGCCGAACGCGCAAACCATTTGCGCCATCGAGCTCCTCATCAAAAATCAATATATCTTTATTCAAATTGGATGTACTCTCCTCCACTCGTTATTGGACATATTATTAAGCTGCGGAGAAAAACGAGCGAAAAAACCTCCACAACATTAAAAATTATAATGTAACAACATTTACTAATCACTATGTTGTAACAATGTCAATACAATCATGATTTATTTCATATAGAGAACCTGTTGGAATGATTGGAACAGTTCAAACCCAAGCATTTTTCTTTGTAAAATAATCAGACGCTATGTAATAATGTTTTTAATAAGTGATTTTAAATGTATTATTTGTTATATAAGCGATCCAGTGTAAATATTGCTTCGGGTGCCAGGGGGATTTACTCATAGAAAGTTGTCGTTTGTTCCAGGTGTGCGAGACTATTGTAGAGATCGCTTTGGACCATAAGCCGTCGCACTGTGAAATGGCGTCCGTGCTAATATCGGACCTCTACGGGAGGGTGTTCTCTGCCAAAGACATCGGTTATGGTAAGTGTTCATTTGGAACTGATCTTAATTTATCTGACGACCTCCGTGGGCGAGGCGTTTTTACGCCTGGTTACAAGGTGTCGCCTACTCGAGAGGTTCGAATCCCGGTTAGGGCAGATGTTTGTGTGATGAATACGAGCATTTGTACTCCAGTCATGGATGTTTAATATGTATTTCTATATAAATATACTTATGTATGTAATAATATATAATAAAGTCTTTTTTATTTCATGCAGAGAAAGAAAATGAGCAAAATAAATAAACTTAACCTATACAGTCAGTGCATTCGCCCGGATTGCAAAGGGTGTGGGTTCGAGTCCCGTCTGCTGCCTGGACCGCGTGGATTATTTTTCTATCAAAACTTTTCTTTAGATTTAAACATCTAGCAGTTAAATGCTTAAAAAATAAAAACATTAACCTATATATTTTTCTTTGTTAACTGTTTGTTTTGTTTGTTTCTAATAAAATTTTATGTATCTGCAAGAACCCTTCCACGGGTGAAGGCCTCCTCCAAAGAAGTCCATTTTTTCTTGTCTTGGGTTATTTTTATCCATCTTGGCCCAACGGTTTTGCTTATATCATCCTTCCATCTTGTAACAGATCTTCCCCTACAGCGATTTCCTTTTGGGCCTCTCCATAATGTGACCCTTTTGGTCCAACGCTCTTCTGCCAGTCTCGCTAACCTTTACTGATATATGTATCAGTATATATATTCTATCCGTTACCCTAGCATCCCATAACACAAGCCACAAACTTTCAATAAATAAAACTAGTTTTAACGGGTAAATGCACGAACTGTATTTATTTTTTGACGTTTCGCAGCCTTTTCAGGTCTGCATCGTCAGAATAACGATTTTTATTTACTTTGTCGAGCTACCTTCGAAAGACTTTTATTGAGCGTTTGGATATTCCATTGGAAGATTTTTAAAACTTTATTGTCTATGTATGAATTTATTAGTTAATAAAGTACCATATTTAAAATTCTTTTTTGTAATTTTGAGTTTATTTATTTGACTCTAACTACCGCAAACTACCACCGGTTCCAAAATTGGGAGACTTGAGAAGAACCGGCGAAACAAACTAAGAGAGGCTTTCTATCTCCTTCTTATGTTAAATCATGCAAACAAAAGAACTAATAGTATCTGTTGGGATTTTATCTCTTGTATAAAATGGGTCCCCAAGCTGGTGGTATATATACCAACCATCTTCCCTATTCAAATTTGGATATTTTTTAATCTCAATAGCCTCGCATATCATTCTAGGAACGAATCGTTTCTCAGTTGCTAAACTTTCATAGTTACAATCCTGCTAGCTATAATGTTGGAAATATTTATTTATTATTCTTCCTCGACCAGCGTTCGAGAGGCTACTAGAAAAGTTGCCCGACCTAGTCCTGGACACGCCTGAAGCCGCAGTGCTTCTATCCAACTTCATCGCTCGCTGCGTGGCCGACGACTGCCTGCCGCCGAGATTCGTGCAGGCGCAGGCGCGGCAACCGGACCTCAACTCGGCGGCCAAGTAATTATATTTTTTTATTTTTAAAGTGAAAACTTCTTTAGCGGCGTTATACACTTTTTTGTATGGGTTAAAAAATGTTAAACTCGCGTCAGGTTAAACACGTGGGCTGATCGCATCATGACACACAATTAAATTGGAAAGGTTGTTGACTTTCAATTTATTGGACGAAACATAGTAATATTTTATTTTACCGTATTATGATAATAAGTCTCTATCTATGACGTCCACGTGGTAGCTTTATTGCGAAGAAAATGCATTTTTTTACAATAGATGTCGCTAGATGCACTTAAATGTGATTCATGTGAGTTGATTTCTTTACAATAGATGTCGTTAAGTGCGCTTAAACGTGATTCATGTAAGTTGATTTTTCTGAGAAATAAACTTTTTTAATGTAATATAAATTGTCATGTTTGTGTACGATAGCGCAATAAAGAAATATTGTATTCTACCACATACATGACAGTACTTTTATACTAATAATTAAAGCAATTCGTGCAACATTATTCCCTAATCGTTCCAAAATATCAAAAATGCACAACGTTAATATTGAAGTTTTCACTTCTACCGGCACTCCCGGAGTGCAACCCGTCGTTTTTTTTAGGGTTCCGTACCTCAAAAGGAAAAAACGGAACCCTTATAGGATCACTGTGTTGTCCGTCCGTCCGTCCGTCTGGCAAGACTGTTTTTCCCAGGAACGCATGGAGGTATCAAACTGAAATTCTAATACTAACTCATCTAATATTCATGTCTACTGTTCCTTGGAGATGTGAAAAAATTAAACTTCTAAGCCAAAGCAAGCAAAAGATACAGCCGTTTATGCCGCAAATTTTCGAAACTCGCACGGAAATCAAAACCTACAGGGTAGTTCCCGTGAACTTAGAATCTTGAAATTTGGTACGAAGTAACGTCTTATAGTACAGATAAAGGAAAAATTGCGAAAGCCGTAAATTTTTAGTTACATCATATAATAAAAAATATTTTTGAAAATTTTAAAGTTACTACATCTTTTCTCATGAACGCATAGAGGTATCAAGTTTTAACAGCGTTTTACACAATATAATCTAATAACGGTTTCTTAGCCAATTACAGAACCTCACTTTGTATTCAATTGGAAAAATTACGTAGGGTAGAAATTACAATGCATATAAAATTAGGAGCGACTCGAATTTTATATGCTAGGACTGAGCTGGCCAGCGATCCATTACCTCACCCCCGCTATACTTTATTTTTCATTTATTCAAAAAATAGGTGCGAACTTAAAACTATACGTACATACATTGGGCATACAAATAGACATATTTTTAGCGCAGTTGCGCGTCCGTAAACATGATATTTTAGGTGTGGCGCGCAAAAAATAGGTCTCCGTGATATTTATATTTTCCCCCTCCATAGGGCTTCGCCCTGTCACAGGGCTCCGCTGCCCCACCCACGCGCTCTGCGCGCGCCGAGTGGGGAGCGCGAAACGTTTTAGGAGATCGTTCTATACAAACTAATTTTGCCTTATATTCGATACATTTCTATCTTTATCGATTTGATACCTATTTATTTATGTAGTACTATGCGTTATTTATCTAATACAATAAGTTTCTAACAAGAATAATAACAAACAACGGCTCTATAGCCCTATAAAGTTTACAAATTTAAAGGTCTTAAAAAACCTACTTACATTCATTTAATGCCTAACTATCATACATCATTCTATACGGCAAGCGAAAATACACAAAATAAAAGCTTTATTATTAAAATTATACCTATAACCTATCAAATATTCATAAAAAACTATATTTAACGTTTCCCTTAATTACGCCTAAACTATTAAAGTGATCTACACAAAAATTTGTTACCTTAATCTTTTAGCTACCTATTTCCTAATAAAATGTAAAACATACAAATTCAAATACAAAAACATACTATTTCCGAGAGCTAACAACTTAGGTAAAATCTTATAAGAATGCTAGAAAGAGACAGCCTATCGTCTCTGTCCCTCCTATCGGTCCGAACTATCAGATTCTAACACCGTTTCTCAGCGCCACCGCTTGGCGTCGTGGCAAATTCTTATACGATTATTGGTTAGAAAGAGACAGAATATCGCTTTGAACTATCAATTTTACAATCAGTTACTATGAGCGAAGCTCTCTATTATTGCGATATCCGACTCATTCTAATAAAACAACAAGGAAATAACATTTTTAATGATCATACAAAACAGTTACATGTGAAATTGCATCTATAGACATCTTCTTAATATATATAAATCTCGTGTCACAATGTTTGTCCTCAATGGACTCCTAAACCACTGAACCGATTATAATAAAATTCGCACACCATGTGCAGTTCGATCCAACTTGAGAGATAGGATAGTTTAATTCTCATATTATAGTCGCAATTTTAATTTATTGCAAATTATTACTTTTGGGCGGTACGAAGTTCGCCGAGTCAGCTAGTATTTTATAAATCAATCTTGTTTCGATGTTAAACTTTATTTCTTCTCGCTTCGGTCGTCGCGTACAATCAATATTTGTTATTGTTTGTTTACAAATGTGTGGTTTTTATTCTAGAATTAGCTGAGTGATAAAAAAGGGTTCCTAAATATTTTTTGTAAACCGTACTTTTCAAGCGACATTTGCCAGATGGAGGTCATTGGCTTTCCTTGTCTTATTTGAATCGCATTATACTCAGGTGCAGCAGATCTATAGATCAGATCCCCAATTCGGCGGCACGACGATAAAATCTTTATTTTTACCGACGAGGCACTCTAAATTAGTCGTATTCAAAGTACTTCGCTTGAGCTGGATTGGAACTTTTATTAACAATATCCACATTGCTAATACAAATAAATCACTTTTAGTCCTTAGGGATTTAACGCTATTTTGCTCCCTTTTTATAGATATGTCCGCCGAATGACTCCACCCTACCTGATGTTAAGTGAAGGTGAAGTCCAGACGCGAAGATAGCTTATACAGCAGTTCTACCTGCCACACCAGCCATCCTCACCCTGCCGGCCTGCATGTTGCTTCTTCAAGCCTCTTTTAAAGGATCCCAGGTTGTAAGAGGGAGGAAACACGTGAGCGGGCAGAGCATCCCTGTAGGAAACAGAACAAACTAGTTTTTTGCCAAATAGATGCGAAAGAAAATCTTTTTTTACCCAACTTTAAAATATTTCTTGCATATAAATAAGCGTGGTGCAAAACAATGTTAAAAAACCATACAAAATACGCATATAAAAAGACTGGCGACTTTCCAGCCGGTCAAAATTGTTTTTATTCTAGTCGCCGACAATAGACAGCTTAATATGCGACGAAGCTTTGTGCGGCTTTGATACTAAATGCGCTTAAACTAGCGTTCAATATTTTATTTAGTTCTGTCGTTATGAGGAGCTCCATGGCGCAAGTGGTTACCGCGTTCGGCTGCGATCGTTGAAGTTAAGCAACTTTCGCAGTGGTCGATCATTGGATGGGTGACCAAAAAAAATTTTACTAGCTCATAAGGCACGTTAAGCCGTTTGTTCCGGCTGCATCTGCAGTCGTTAGCTCCCACCAATCCGCACTGGGCGCGCGTGGTGGGTCATGGCCCTATCTCCCTATTCCATCCATAGGGAAGGCCTTTGCCCTAGCAGTGGGGGCATTAATATGCTGATGATGATGATGTTATGAATGGGCTGCGTTTCTATGGACGATAACTTGACTGCCGATAATTTGTCATGTATTAAAGTGATTGTGGGAGACGATTTTTTTTTCGACGACCTCCGTGGCCGAGTGGTTTGTGCGCCGGGTTTCATGGTGTCGCCGACTCGAGAGGTCCCGGGTTCGAATCCGGGGGGGGGGGGGGGGCAGATGTTTGTGTGATGAATTCTTTGCACCATAGCACAAGCCTTACAGTGCTTACTTTGGGGCTAGACTAATTGGTGTGAGTGTTGGTAATATTTATTTATTTTATATGCAGCTGAAGGTGCGTCCCTGATTCAAAGTTCTTAGCACATTTAGTACCAAAGCTTAGTCACGCAGGCGTGGGAGAAACATTAGAAAGTGGATCATCATCATCAGTCTATTAATGTCCCCCCTGCTGGAGCACAGGCCTTCCCTATGGATGGAAAGAGGAAATTGGGTCATGACGCACCACGAGGGCCCAGTGCGGATTGGCGGGTGCTAACGACTGCAGTTGCAGCCAGGACCAACGGCTTAACGTGCCTTCCGAAGCACGAAAGAACTCGAAATAAAAGATTTTTGGTCACCCATCCAATGACTGACCACTGCGAAAGTTGATTAACTTCAACGATTGCAGCCGAACGCGCTAACCACCCGCGCCATCGATCTCTCCTAATTAACATTAGAAAGTGGATATTAAACTTATATTGTTTGTTTTGTTTGCAGGCAAGCAATCCACAGGGCAGAGACTTTGTTGTCAATGAAACAGGGTCTGGTCAGGTTGGACAACATATGGGGAGTCGGAGGAGGCATCAGGTGAGTCCACTTTTATTTAACACTAGCTGTGCCACGCGGTGTTAGGGGGCGTTGAAGTATATAGAAAGAATTCGACACGACCATCAGGGCCGCGGTAGCATAATAATCAGTGCATTCGCCCGGGATAGCGAAGGGTGCTGGTTCGAGTCCCGACTGCTGCCTCTGGTCCGATAATATTTTCTTTAGATTTAAACATCGAACGACGGAGCCTTACAGTAGTCGCGTATGATGTTTAACATTTGAAACCTTACCTTATATTAGTAAAAAAAGAAATAAAACCTACTACACAAGGAATAAGCCATTTGAACATTATGTTCTAAAATCAAATCAAATAGCGCGCGCTTCCCAAACTTCCTGTTACACACTTCCGTCCCACTTCACGTAACCACTCCCACAAATTGCACGAAAGCGAGAGGAAAGATGTTACACATCAATGTGATTGGATTGGAGTCGATGAGATTTTGAATGACATATACTGATTTAATTATATTTTTGATTCACATTTTAATATGACCTGATTTAATCGATTTTTTATATTTTTGACTAGTTATACTGTGACCTGTTAAGTAATTTTTATTCAAATATGTGACAGTATTAATTAATTTGATAAAAAACTTATTTAAATTTGCATGCTTCAGTCTATAGCTGAATAGGTGAAACCTACGGTGTAGTTATGTGTAACTATTTGTGACCTTGATTACCCTGTTCAAACGCAAATAATTATTTTTTCTATTCTATTATATTTAATAAAAAATTATAACTATAATATAACTTGTCTCCTTGTGCTTCCTCTAGGCCAGTCAAGTCGCTCATCCGTCAGATACAGCTACTCCTGAAGGAGTACTTAACCTCGGGGGATTTAGCTGAAGCGATGAGATGCGTGAGGGAACTGGAAGTGCCTCATTTCCACCACGAGCTAGTCTATGAGGTATTTATCCTATGTGCCAATATCGATAAAGGTGATTTTTTTTTTATAGATAGGTCCAACAAATGATTCCACCCCACCTGATGTTAAGTGATGGTGAAGTCCAGACGTGAAGATAGCTGATACAGCACTTCTACCTGCCACACCAGCCGGATGCATGTTGCTTCTTCACGCCTCTTTTAAAGGATCCCAGGTTGTAAGAAGGAGGGAACATTTCATTTATTAATTAGCTCACAAAACAAGTTACAATTAAATATTAAGAAACAAAGCAATTACAATAATATAAAACCCAAACTGTAACTCTAAATATGTGGGCGTAACGTGATAAAATTTTATGGTCTGAAGTTAACACAAAAGAAAAATATTCAAATCGAATTTCAACAATTAAACAAAAAAAATACTTAAATAAAAGTACATATTAACCGGTGTCGATTTCGGTATGATTCTCTTTTGCTTAATTACTTAAATTATGTATAGCTAGCGGCCTCCCGCGACTTCGTACGCTTGGCGTTAGTTATTTGCACATACTTTTTGACCCCTGTTCACTGCTCGTTCCCCGTAGGTGATAGCGTGATAATATGTACCCGACTCCTTAATAATATTTGTGCCAAATTTGAAGGACATGCAATACTTTTTGAGTTTATCTCGGACATACATACAGACAAACAGACAAAAATTCTAAAAACTGTATTTTTAGTTTCGGTATCGATTTTAGATCACACCCCAAGTATTTGTTTAAAGAAATTTTCAATGTACTGTTTTGACTTTCGTACCATTTTATTATATGTATAGATGTTTTCTCTCGAATGTGTTGAAAAACGTTGTATGGCATTTGTGCGGTTTGGTATTACAAACTCGTGAATTCCATCTATTCGTTTGTAATAACTGGTTATTATAGGGTATAGGTTCTAGTCATGAGTTTGTAATAAATAGTACATTATGATATAAGTGCGGTAAGTTGAGAATAGGCTAGTTGCCTATATTTTAAAAAGTGGTTAATAATATACCTTGATGTTTATTTAAACCCAAAAAAATATTATTTTAAATAAAAAAGTACATTAGCAATATGTATTTTGTATTTTAAAAAACTTATTTAAATTTCCCTCGAAAACGCTCTAGACTGTCATGGCGTCTAGAATGACGTCACGCCGTGCAAAGCAAACAATACGCTGTACGCCGACTATTAATTACAAGTACTGTATAGTGTCCTAGTATAAAAGGAGAAGCATAAAACGCCAGACAAATTATTTATATGCCACAAATGCGGAAAAAATGGTTAGAACTTGCAAGGAGGGATGGTACCTATTCATTGTTTATCAACAAATACAAGAATAATTTTGTGATGAACATTTTGATGTAAGTATTTTGCATAACATAATCAATGAAATCAAAATGTTATACAAGCCGGATAAATTATATTGCATTATATTGATAAAACAATGACAATAGGTTGAGGTTAGGTAAGCTGATTTAATTTTATAGTATGATTTAGAGTCTATTTGAGAGTTCAGTATATCTATTCATAATAATAAACACTTCTTATTCTTGTTCTAGTTGCCAAATGATATGCTTAATTATGTCGAGTAGTTATGCGATTAATTTTTTATTTTGGTTAAAATATTATTATTTGCTTCGGTAATTCCCAATTCCATGGATTTATTAGGCTTCCTTTCAATACTTATATGAAAACAAACTGATAATTGTATCAAAGTAACAATAACATGAATGAGATATCAATGAAATGTATGGAAATGGCAACCACAAGTAATGTTTTGCACGTGGTGACGTCAGTCTTTCTGATTGGTGTTTGCCGTCACGTGATCTAATGCCTATTTTATTCGAATTTATTTTCTAAAAATAATAATAATCTTTAATTATTATGATAAATAGCTTTATTTTTTGTTATCTGCATATCATAATTCATATTTAGAAACTGTAACCCACTCGATTTATTGTTAGTTGACACAAGCCTATTACAGCCGAGGCGATATTGTTAGCTTGAGCCGTAGGTGAGGGCTATAAGAAGGCAGAGAATTATCAAACCGCACGTATGTCGTACGACGACCTACGTACGTACTTTCTGAAAATGAATTTGCATCTTTGTTTGTTTTCCATAAGATGAAATTTTGATACGCTTGACTGTAAGTATCTATCCGTGGATTTTTCGGGCAAGAAGCTAGGCGTAGCCTTTTTCGACTTCTGGCGGTGTCAAATTAATAAATTCGTTACTACTTCACATTATTTTCAAATAAAAACAATACAGCGAAAAGAAAAAGAAATAACTTTTTCATAGATTAGCTATGCGCGCGCATCAATGCTCTTTTAGGCAAAGGAACAAAAAACAGCCAGTGATACTAATAAAGTAAATTAATATTTTTGTGAATTTGTTGCCGATACATGGTTGTAATCAAATTAAAGAATTAAATGTTTATATATTATATTTTACCTCCCAAAGTTAATTTTATTAAGAAAATGTTGGCTATCTTTCTGACATAACTGTTTGCTAAGTTTTAAAAAAGTATCGTTCGTTTTTAGACGGAACATAATAAGCCCTACGTTTTACTTTACATTACCGCACGCGTGTGTAATGTGATAGATTATGATTCCGCAAGAATGTCATACAATGTTTTTCAACACGTTTGCGAGAAAACAGTGTAGGTACATAATTTAGGTAATAAAGCACAGTCTTTGTAATAAGTAAATGGCGCGTATTTCCAAATGGTGCAAATTAGAACTACTTTTTTCGTTTTAGTATTGAAGACAAAGGTATAACTTAAACCTCTCAACTCGCGACGTAAAATTTGATACCTGTCATCATACGTCATCTATTCACGAAATATCGGCTCAAATCAAAATGTCGTCGGCGCGACAAAAAAAAATATATTACGCTGTAGCCAAACCAGGGCTTGTTTACCGGTTAATTTTCAAACCTAAATCAGTGTCAAGTATATTAGGAGCGTTTTATTTAGGCTTGGCTCTACCTTAACCTTAAAAAACCGGTTTTCCTAAAGAGCGAAATCAAATAGGTTTTGAATCAATTTAGCGGTTTTAAAGGTTTACATTTCGCTCTTTCTGACGGCATCGATAATAAATGAATAACTTACTCACTACACGCTAGCAAATGCATCAATCTCTGAGCATTAACAAGTTGTGACTTGATTACTTCAAACAAAACAAACTTCAAGCGATGCCGACGCGTGCACGTGTCACTCTGGATTAAACCGGTTTATTAAGGTTTTAGGTGCCACTTTCATTTCGGACTCGCTCCGAACGAAACCTTTACTAAAAACCGGTATTAACCTTTATTTACCGGTATTTTCGAAACCGGTTTCAAGCCCTGAGCCAAACCATTAATTATCATTGCGTGAACAAGAATTTACTAATTGATAAATTTTCTTTCAGTCAAGTACAAAAATTACGGCAATTATCAATACACTACGTTACGCACTTTACAATCTAAAATAAACGCGGTGATAATTGAGTTAAATGCGCTTCAAAGGAAGTTCGAAATCAAAAAGAAAAACTAAACTAAGCGGTAAATTGTTAACCGTACGCTCCGTTATATGACCCGTAGTTTTGAACTTTCAAACAATGTATTATTATACAACCTCCGTAAATGCTTTTTTGAGCAAATGTGTTGAAAAATTATTTTTTTTTTGTATGAAACTCAATTATTTAGTGATAAAAAAAATCAGTCTAGTACGTTTCTATAGAGAAAACATTGCCTGCTTCCTCTCTTAAGGCTTCTATGAATAATTAAATAGTTTATTAATCTTCATTATTCGTATGACAGACGGTGTTATTGGCGTTGGAGTCCATAAACTCTAGCGCGGAGGAGAGCCTGGCAACTTTCCTGGCAGAATTGAGGCGCAGTGTGGTCGTCAGTCCCGACCAGATGGACCGGGTGAGTGCAAAATACATACTTAAAACTGGGTCAAACAACATTTTTTTTTTTTTGTGGAACCAAAGGCAAGTTGATCTCCAATTGAACAAAAGAAGAATCACTGAAATGGACAAGCAATCTGCAAAATTTGGCCACTAGGGGCGCTGTAATCGCTTGACCCAAAACTTCTATCAAATCCATACCTATTAGCTTATATTTATTTTTAAGCTTTTTATCAAACATATTACAAATGCCGCGTTCTGCAGTTCCTGGTTGTTGTGAGAAAACTGCGTGCTTACCGACTAAAATATGTTTTTATATGTTCTTTGAACGGGGGGAGGGGGTGAATCTGGGACAGGTAATTGCATCTGGGTGTCTTTATTTTGATCAGAAAAAAAGCACCGAAATTCAAATTGCGGTCATATGCCTCAAGTCTGTAAAAAAACCCAATGTTATACTTCCCATTTTAGCCAGAAGTAACCTAACTCTATGAAATGTCTGACTAATGCAAAAATAAGATAGATTTGACTAATGAGCCCGCTAAAAGTTACTGTAATCCATGAACTACTAACACATAATCATGGAAAATGCATCTAGGTACCGAGAATGAGCATTTTACCATAATAATAGAAAGAGTACCTTACTACTAGATCAGCTTTTCTGCCTTGCACAGATGCTCCTATCCTTTTCAACTCTGTTTCAGCTGACCATGTTGAATACATTTTCACCACTTATTTAATATTTTAACAACAAAAAAAACACGTTTAAAGTTTGACAGCTGCAATATTCCTCTGTGGTTTGGGTCCAGCGTTTGCAGCGCTATCTATGTCGAGCTTTTTGTATACTTCTCCAGTGGACCAGAAATCTTTAAGTAATTAGTGTACATATAAGCAAAGTATCGTGAAAATTACATCGTCCAAGTAATAATATTTTTTATAAGAAGGTTTCCCCGGATTCCACCATCAGATCCTGACTTGGTTCCAATGGGACCATCTCGGAAATGCACTCCTTAGAATAAAAAAAGAATTTTGGAAATCGGTCCTCAATTGACGGTGAAATCGGTACACATACATAAAAAAAATATATACAATCGAACACAGAACCTCCTCCTTTTTTGAAGTCGGTTAAAAAGATCAACTGAAAAGATAGGACAGTATGAAAAATAAAGTAGTACCAATTGCTGGCATCTGTATTTAATATGAATATTAACAGCGATTTTACTTTTGAGAGAATAAATAATTATTAACTTTTCTAAAAAAAAAATTTTTTTTTGTTCTAAGGTCACGTGATTGAAAACGCCTGGGATTGGCGGAGCCTAAAATTACGTCACACACTAGTGAACTTCCGGTCAAAGTGACATTACATTAACGACGTAATTGTCGTTTCGCGTTTTAATGACGGTCGTCTGACGTCACATACCAGTGAGACATCATTTTGTACCGAAAAACGTTTTGCGCGGCAACTTGAAAATGGAGTTTTTGATTTAGTTATTTTTACTGAAATACACAACAGAATGATGATTATCCACTTTTTAACTTTTCATGGACTCAATAAACATTAGTAAATAACGTGAGAGTCGTGAGATGTAAAGTCTTTGACGTCGTTTTCATGAAAATCTCTTCTGAAAACGTCCTTTATCAAATTGTCCAAAATTTTGTATTTGGACTCATCATCATCAGCCTATTAATGTTCTCCCTGCTGGGGCACAGGCCTTCCCTATGGATGGAATAGGAAGATTGGGCCACGACCCACCACGAGGGCCCAGTGCGGATTGGAGGGCCCTAACGACTGCAGATGCAGCCGGGACCAACTGCTTAACGTGCCTTCCGAAGCACGGAGGAACTCGAGATAGAAGATTTTTGGTCACCCATCCAATGACCGACCACTGCGAAAGTTGCTTAATCTCAACGATCTCAACCGAACGCGCTAACCACCCGCGCCATCGAGATCCTCAGCTCGAGCTATTTTGACTATTTCAATAATAATTATATGAAACTTTTGCCACCAGGGTTTCCTCCGCGTATTGGAAGATATGAACGACATAGTATTGGACGTGCCATTGGCCTACATAGTATTGGACAGATTCATGGAGCTCTGCCAACACAAGTTCAGGCTGGGAGACGCTGTGTTGAAAAGGATGCCTACCAGGTAGCCATTTACCGTAGCACTGCCGGATTTAGGGGAGGGCAACCGGGGCGAAAGCCCCGGGGCCTCCACAAACGGGGGGCCCCCACAATAGAGACATCGGAAAAAAAAAATCTTTTAAATTCCAACTAGTAAACATCTTTCCTTTGATTTTGTTTTGCTCTTTTACCTTTACCTACAGCTTACAGTACTTTGTACATCTAACATACATATTAATCTTAAATAACAGAAATCATTGATCTATATTTGTTCACTCCAATTAGGCAATCAATGAAATATCAAAATCTCAAATGGCCCTGATAAGCACTTCCAATTCACTACCCATCTTAAAGGAGTACCCCAATCGCTTAATGGCTGAGTGGGGTGGTACCTGCCCGCAGGGCCGAATTTAAGGCAGGGCAGGTGGGGCTGTGGCACAGGGGCCTCCACAACAGCTTAAGAAATAACAACATTTCGATGGGTTAACAAGAATACAAATCCTAAGTGGCCCGGGGCCTCCACAATCCTAAATCCGGCCCTGTACCGTAGATTATATGAGGAGCTGGCGAACAAAACGGTATTATTACATGAAATTAAATTTTACAGGAGCTGTATAAAATTGAATGACATACCTACAGTGAGGTTTTGGCATGATTTTTAATTTCTAAATTTAGTAATTGTATGATAAAGCCGGGGTTCGGCGAGTTACCGCAAACGCTCCTTACACCGCCACGGGTACCGAGGGCTAGGCTTCAGAACGGGGCTCGTCAACGCTCTTGGGAAACTATTGCCGGCAATATATCGCACATAGAAGTCCAAGGTCAGAAGGTTCACGATATCTTCCAGAGAAATGGTACTCTCACTTGATATAACGGAAAAAATATTTGAGAGCTGATTGATAGCTGCTTACACGTCGGGGACTCGGAAGTGAACTACTCGCTCATTGGTGCTGGCGTCGGCCGTAAAGTCGTACCAACACACAAGGCACAGTGGTAGGCACAGAACCAAAATACGGTTTGTCACCTACCCCATACATAAATTAAGAAAGAAAAAAAATACAATCTTCCAATATGTATTGTCTTACTAAAAAATCTGTTACGCTACGGAACAGTAATTGTAACACTGTTTTAGTTGGTTTTGATTGAAAAATTATTTGAGATACAAATTAAACAGGCCCGAAAGCTCCAGACTGTAAAAAAAAAGGAGTTTGACCAGATGCGTAAATATACCGTTTTGTTTGCCAGCTCCTCATATATTACTAAGTGCTTGACCGATTCAAGGCCTGTCAACAGTCCGTATTTTCCGCGCAAAGGTCACAAAGGTCTTCGTCGTTAAAAAAATGAGTTACTGAGGTTCGATGCTCAAATTACACTGGTCTGCAACGAAATCCTCCTTTAAATAAAAATATGATAAATATGAAGGGATTAACATGCTAAATCTAGATTTGCTTCCTATTGTTTGCTATCACGTATATTTTATTTTTATTCTGTATTTTTTGTGTCGTTCTTGCACTAACGCTAATTTATTCATTCTGTATCATATGTTTCCACATAAAAACGACTTGGGTTGATAGAAAGAGAGACAACAATATCAATTGATGGTATTTTTGTAGTTTTTACACTAATGCATACGCTTGCAGTTCTCGCTGTGAATCCGTGGCGCTCAGTTCGATTTAAAGTTGTTAAGTGATTGTTACTGATTTTAACCTAGTATTTCGGTAAGTTTTATATTATATTGATACATGTAAGGAAAATAGAGCAAAATAGAATCCCGTGAGTAGAATATTATTTTAAGTTTACAGCAAATTTAATTGTGTTGTTGGTACAAAATGCCAAGGTTTTTGCAAAAACTCTCCTGACGTGTTTTGCTACATTTGTGGTGAATTTAACATAAAATTTCAACGGAACAGATTGACTACACTGGTTAAAATCGCTTATAAGCGTTATTTTGGGATTCCGGTCGATGATAGAGACACAAATTGGTTCCCGAAAATATGCTGAAACAGTTGTTCAAGGACTTCATTTTTTAGATTTTCACTTAGATTTCTTTCCCGAAAATTTTGGAGGGGTATCTGATGAACACGGTGAAAGATTTCATCGACTTCATGTTTTAGATTTTCACTTAGATTTCTTTCCCGAAAATCTTGGAGGGGTATCTGATGAACACGGTGAAAGATTTCATCGACTTCATGTTTTAGATTTTCACTTAGATTTCTTTCCCGAAAATCTTGGAGGGGTATCTGATGAACACGGTGAAAGATTTCATCTACTTCATTTTTTAGATTTTCACTTAGATTTCTTTCCCGAAAATCTTGGAGGGGTATCTGATGAACACGGTGAAAGATTTCATCTACTTCATTTTTTAGATTTTCATTTAGATTTCTTTCCCGAAAATCTTGGAGGGGTATCTGATGAACACAGTGAAAGATTTCATCGACTTCATTTTTTAGATTTTCACTTAGATTTCTTTCCCGAAAATCTTGGAGGGGTATCTGATGAACACGGTGAAAGATTTCATCTACTTCATTTTTTAGATTTTCACTTAGATTTCTTTCCCGAAAATCTTGGAGGGGTATCTGATAAACACGTTGAAAGATTTCATCGATTTCATTTTTTAGATTTTCACTTAGATTTCTTTCCCGAAAATCTTGGAGGGGTATCTGATGAACACGGTGAAAGATTTCATCTACTTCATTTTTTAGATTTTCACTTAGATTTCTTTCCCGAAAATCTTGGAGGGGTATCTGATAAACACGGTGAAAGATTTCATCGATTTCATTTTTTAGATTTTCACTTAGATTTCTTTCCCGAAAATCTTGGAGGGGGTATCTGATGAACACGGTGAAAGATTTCATCGATTTCATTTTTTAGATTTTCACTTAGATTTCTTTCCCGAAAATCTTGGAGGGGTATCTGATGAACACGGTGAAAGATTTCATCAGGTCATATCGCACATTGAGAGGCGCTACAACGGAAAATGTTCGGAAGCAATGCTTGCCGATTTTTGTTGTTCGATATGTCGCGAAACTCCAGTAGAAAATATAAAAAGATAAAAAAAAACTACTAAGTAAAATTATAGAAACAACATCTAATTACATTGTCTTATGATTTTTAATGTTTTGGTGTGATTATATGTAATATTTTGTCCTAATATTATTAAAGCGATCGTTGATTTTTTGAACAAAAAAATATTTTTCGTAATAATTCCCTCTCAAAAAATATATGTGCGTGATACAAATATTTATAACCCAGTTTCTGTTGAGAAATATCACACATCACAATAATAAGGAGTGCAAAAAAAATTTTTTGCAGACCAGTGTGATTCGTTTAGGATAAAGAGGGTTCATATTTTAAGTAAAAGATGTTTTGGAGTCCAAGGGGAATGTAACACAAAATTTTATGAATTTATAGTTTTGTTTTTAAGTTATCAAGGTATCAAGGTTATACTGTTCTTTTATTCCAGAGGCCGTAAGCGGTACGTTTCTGAAGGTGACGGTGGCGCCATCAAGGATCACGCGCTCAAACTGCGCGAGTGAAGGAACCAACTGTTAGTGCCATCAACACCCAGCCGCGTCACGAATGTTTATTACTGCCGATAGCTACTGAGGATACAGGTTCAACAAACATTTGTTATATATCAGGGGTATACAATCGAAAGTTGGTTAAGTCCACGAAATTTTAAAAGTGAGATTCTAATGACAACACATGCGTTTCCGTATCTATATTTATCGCGTTGTATAATTTTATACAAATTCTAGAAATCTCGACTGTTATTTCAAATAGGGTATTTGACAGTATTAAAAATAAAGTGCCAATTGTTATCATCTGTGTTTAGAATGAATATAGACAGGGGTTATTACTATTATTACAAAACAAATTCATAATTTTACTAAAACCCCACGAAAAAGATTATAGTTTTCTTATCTATTGTCACGTGACCCAAAACGATTGGGATTTTCGGAGCCTAAAATGACCTCACACGCAAGTAAACTTCCGGTTAAAGTGACATTACCAATGATGTAGATTCTGGCATGATTCTCTAAAGCTAAACTTAAATTTGACAACAGTGCATCCTTGTCATTCTCTATATAGAATGAAAAGGTGAGACTGACCTTAAATTTAGTTTTAAGTTTAGAGAATCACGCCAGAATTGACCCCATTGTATCGTTTGACGTTTTAATAACAGTCGTGTGACGTCACACTAGTAAGACGCCATATTGTCCAGAAAAACGTTTTTGCGGCAACTTGAAAATGGAGTTTTTGATTTGGTTATTTTTACGGAAATACACAACAGAATGACGAATATCCACAAACATTAGTCAATAACGTGAGATCGTTTTCTAAAACTTGTCAAATACCCTATTGAAAATTGACTTTACAAACAAACGTAGCCAAGTCCAAGTGAGTCGAGTTTCAATTTGCGCAAAGTCCTTTTTGACCAATAGGAAGGCTCCATTGCCTCCATTTCACTGACAGCTGTCATGGCCGCCTTTGATGCTGTAATGCTCTTTTGCTGTGTTACAATTACAAACTTAGTAAAGTCCAAAACTTGGTAACTAAACTGGGAAAGTCCATCTTATACTTAAGGTTTTACTCAAAATTATTGAACTGAACGTGATGAACACTTGTATTTCCATAATGTATTACATTCTGCATATAAATAATGTTTAACATTAGAATAGTTACCTGTAATTATTAAATTATCAGTTTTTATCGTTTACTGAACATTTGGGCTGAGGAGTTCGATGGCGCGGGTGGTTACCGCGTTCGGCTGCGATCGTTGAAGTTAAGCAACTTTCGCAGTGGTCGGTAATTGGATGGGTAACCAAAAATCATCTATCTCGAGTTCCTTCGTGCTTCGGAAGGCACGTTAAGCCGTTGGTTCCGGCTGCATCTCAGCAGTCGTTAGCTCCCACCAATCCGCACTGGGCCCGCGTGGTGGGTCATGGCCCAATCTCCCTATTCCATCCATAGAGAAGGTCTGGGCCCCAGCTTAATCTTTATATGTAGGGCACATAGATGCCCTAATTTTTTTAGAACAGTCGATTTTTTTTTTTAATTAATTTTATTTTTTTATTGCTGTGAAAGTTGGTATGACTACTTTGTCGATTGTGACTTATTTTTACATTGTTTTCTCTTTACTTCCACAGCTGAATAGCAGTATCCTCGTGGGTAACCCAAAGTCGCCGCCATCGAGGTTCCAGGTTCAGTTCCTGTCACTTTAACTGCCGTGAGAAAGTTCTCGTTATAATTTTCTTCTTAAACTTAATTTTATAAAATTGTATGAACACCTGTAAAAGTGCTGTGCAAATTAAAAATAAATTACGGCAATTATTACTACAAGAGGCTTGAATACTATAAGAATATGATTGATTTTTTTTTTATATTTTGTTGTAAAGATTTATTATAGCATACAGTTTTAATATGCGGATATAAGATTTAAGAACTATAGTCCTTTTTTACTGTGTTGCTCTTTTTGAAACTACATACCAGTGCATTTGTCTATGAGACAAAAGTTGAGATTAGCATACAGCCATTGAAAAATAAAAATTAACCACAAAGATTTCTTTGAAGAACTATTAAATGTTATTAATTGTGTGTATGATAATAATAATGATTGGTAACTAAAATAATTATAATTGGTAAATAAATTGTATACGCCATTTGTGCATTTGGAAATTGTAATTCATATGTATAAAAATAGATGGCGCTGTTCTTTGCATCGCGCTAGCAAATTTGTTTTGAGCTACATATAGGTAAAACATCACTAAATTAAAAAAGAAATTTATGATCAAACAAATTCCACCTTGGTTTCATTTCTATTCTTTTGCACCAAAGCTCTCGGATTTAAGAGTCATTATGTCTCGAACATGATCCTTCGAGCCAGATCTGGACTAGCGATGCGCGACTACGAATGATTTTACCTTTCGACTAATTCGTAACTACTAATTTGGCTATTCGAAAGGCAAATTAGTAGTATACTAATGTCATTATTCGAATAACGACTACTAATTAGTAATACTAATGTCAAATGTCGCTGCGTGCGCGCCGCCCGATACCTTCGACTCCAGTCGAATGATATAAAGCGCAGTCGACTTAGTCGAATGATTCGTGGAGTCGAATGATTAGTATTAGTACTAGCAAACCAGTGAACCAAAACCTGATTTAAAAAAAAAATGTATTTAATTAATTGAGAACTTCGGAGATTTTGTGTGGTTTCGTTTGAAATTCGTGATTTCTCAAAAACCGGAAGTGCTACGTTACTCAAATCCGGTTTGTAGTCTTATCAGACTATTCTTCACTTATAACTTAAACATTCTCTTTATCTATCTCTTACGGTTTGGCCGCTGAAACAGCACCACAGACAGACGGACGGACGGACTTGTCTAATGGATAAGAGATTATTCGAAGTCGCGCATCGCTAATCTGAACTGTTGATCACAAATGACGTATACATAAATAATAGTTATTTTTCTTTTCTTTACATTGGACATTGGTCTGAATACTGAAGATTATTTTATTTATTTATTTTTTCTAAAAAACTACCATTCCACTAGTGTGGAGATTTTGCATAGTGACTATGTTAATGGAGACCTTTTTAACAAGAAGAATGTGAACTGTAAATTCCTGGTCTCAGAAAGTAAAGTTTTACCAGAAGCCTTGCTTTTTGACTGTATTTAGTGTTGGCAAGTATTGGAGTATTTTTAGACCTCACCTAAGTCAATTTTATTTTTAAACTAGTGGCCCGCCCTCGCTTCGCTTCGGTGTAGAGCTGTAGTGTAAACTAAAATGACTTCATATAATTATAAAAAAAAACTGAAAATGGTACATTTTCCTTCTCCAAACTTCTATTGACATCACGTCGCTCAATTGTTTTGCCTTCCCGGAACCTCTCCACTAACATTTGAAATTTATGGTGTTATTAAAGTTCAAATTGACTTTTAAGTATTATTATGAATCGTTTGTATGGGAGTATAGAAAAGTGTTGTTTTTGTACATTTTCAGGCATTTTTTTTTAATATTTCTCTGCATAAGAACTATCCTTGTACTTCAAGGAATATTCTAAAAAAAGAAATATCGAAATCGGTTGAGCTGTTCTCGAGATTTGCGCTTAGCAATATATTCAGCGATTCATTTTTATATTACAGATAATACAGGAAAACGGATACCGATTCACCAACCGATGGTTTTTAATACACAACATAATTTACTGTATTTTTCATTGTCCCAGTTAACTTAAAAGTTTAAATTTTTCACAGCTTCAAGCGACTGTAGATCCGAGTATGTGGTTTTTCAACTCTATACCACCACTTACGTTACATTTAATTTACGTTGTAAATTTTAATGGCGCGTTATATTTTTTTAAACTTTACGTCTATTAATTGACACATTGAATATAATAAACTAAAAAAAAAGTTCACTTAAAATCTCTACCTGTGGCAATTGAAGTACGCCCAGCTCTGTTTTGTTTGAATAATTTATTCCGATGCCTTACTGTAATAATTAATAAAATAACTATGTTTGTACCATTTTGCACAATAAAAATAATTTAATTTTAAATAAATGATATTATGATAAATATATATTTGAAGTTGAAACTTGAAAATGTTTTGTTAATGATCGAGAGAAGAATTGATTTATTTTAATTATCTTTTATTGGGCAATCAAATGTTATGTAAGTGACGAAAGATTTGTTGCCAACACACAGTCGTATATATAGCAGTGAGTATGTTTTAAAAGTATTGTGTTTAAAAAAAATGTTGTTAAACTTGTAAAAATTTGCTTTGTTCGTTGCTTTCAGGGGTTTTTTATGTGACTTTTCAATTAATTAGCAATAAAGTATTATTTGTTTTAATTACACAAAGTGCGGAGTACAAGACTAGTACAAAATAGTGATTGCAAAAAAAATAATTGTCATCTCTTTGGTGGTACTGAAACATCGGACGCGGCGGAAATGGTCTCCCGATTAATAATATTTGACCGGAAGTGGCTGGTTTTCTAAACTGAAACCCTTTGTTTTATACGTTTGTTTATTACGATAGTCTATGGAAATTAAAAGACTCCATCTGTTCTCAAGCAGCGCCCTCCTGCCAATGTCGTAAAAGTGCTGTCAATGTTTTGGTCGCACTGTAACATGTATGATGTTGATAAAATTTCACGTGAAATCCAAATTCGATGGAATAAATGAACTCATTTTTTGCATTAGCTTGCAACAGCTTCTGTGTTACCCGATTGCGCCAAAAAGGGTAATGTTTTTTCGTATTAACATGGACAAAGTTCACCTAATTCGATGGAATAAATTAACACATTTTTTGCATTAGCTTGCAACACCATCTGTGTTACCCGATTGCGCCTAAATGTTAGCCAATCAACTTTTTTTTAAAGACAAAGGCGTGAAGGCCCTCGGACAAAGAAGTTGTGGGGGCCTCTATTTTCAAATTTGAAACTCGGCCACTAAAGATTTGCAAGGGGATCAGTGACTCGGCGAATTTAGTTTTTCTCTGTTGTGAGCAGACCCCTTTTTCCCAGTGGGCACTTTGGGCAAGAGCCCAGGGCCCCGTGATCGATAGGGGACCACCTTAGATCAAATACAAAGTCCCTAGTTCCTGTTAGATCAGCAAACGGGGGTCATAGGAGCCCCATTATCCTAATATGTTCAGGGCCTCCAAAAGGTCAAAGACGGCACTGGTTTTGAGGGGCTCAACTCCGTCTGCGCTACCCTAAATACCTGTATACAGTTTAATGAGCCAGCCACTCTCGTTCGTGATAAAATATAAACTTTACTGAGTTGTATAATCAACACTAAACACTTCTGTCGGGCGTTGATATTTTTTTTATATACATGGCGTTTAGTGACGTCACTAAGATTAAGTGTTTTATTTTTTTTAATATATGCTTACGCGTAGAGTTGCAAAGGTATCGTTGTTGAAGTGAATACAGTATAGATTTAAATGGTGTGAATTTTTATGATTCAAATCAATGATTATAGTTATTTTCATCATTTTAGCTTTAATTTTGCTCAGCACACTAAGCTACTGCTAAAAAAAATCTGTTATAAAAACAAAATGTGGGAGGCTGGAACCATCCATTATGATATTATATTATATATTTGTGTTATCTATTTCCAGTTTGAGCTCGATGGCGCGGGTGGTTAGCGCGTTCGGCTGCGATCGTTGAAGTTAGCAACTTTCGCAGTGGTCGGTCATTGGATGGGTGACCAAAAATCTTCTATCTCGAACTCCTCCGTGCTTCGGAAGGCACGTTAAGCAGTTGGTCCCGGCTGCATCTGCAGTCGATAGCACCCGCTAATCCGAACTAGGCCCGCGTGGTGGGTCATGGTCTAATCTCCCTGTTCCATCCATAGGGAAGGCCTGTGCCCTAGCAGTCGTCTCCGTATTATAGCAATGTATAAGTACTTGAAATTGTCCATTAAAATAATAACATTTTATTTTTATTAAGACTGAATTTTATTTCGTGTAACGGAACGTAAGTTTTGCAACTCTGCGTATCATGCGTACCTATGCGTGTGTGAGTGAGATGGCTGTATATTGTGTTTGCGATCACACGCGATTATGTGAGAAAATGTTTAATAATTATTTTGAAAGACTTATTTTCTGTTTTGATTTTTATTATTAATTTAGCATTTAATGTTTTTTCGCATTTGCGTAAAGAGAACCGGTGGTCAGTCGCAGATGAGATTCATGTTTCGAAATTAGTCTTACAAATTGTAGTAACTAATTGAAGTTATTAGATGTATAAATGTAAAGAAAAGTTTACTAGAAAAAAAAAACCACGTGGACCAGGTAGTGGACGGGACTCGAACCCGCACCCTTCGCAATCCGGGCGAATGCACTGACCATTATGCTACCACGGCCCTATTGGCCGCGTCGAAATTTTCCTAGCCTTAAGCTGCAAGGCCCAAGGGCCGTGGTAGCATAATGGTCAGTGCATTCGCCCGGATTGCGAAGGGTGCTGGTTCGAGTCCCGTCCGCTGCCTGGTCCGCGTGGATTTTTTTCTAGTAAACTTTTCTTTAGATTTAAACATCTAGCAGTTAAATGCTTAAAAATAAATAAAAAAATAATTATTAGATGTATTTCAAAATGTTAATTTGATAGTAGATTAGGCATTAGGAGTGACTTTTCCTTTCTTCCTTTCTTTAAGTAGATTTTCAAAAATATTGGACACGTATTTTTTTTTTTTTACTTAATCAGAACGTTACAGAGATTGGAAATGTCACGTTGTCGTACAATTTTTACTAAAAAGTGGTAACACGAGATCCACTCCCAAACTCTGACGTGCTTTTATCATTGTAAATTTTTGTTTGATAGACAGAAGAAAAAATAAGGG